CCTCTGGAAACCCTATGAACTTGGAGAGAGGATGAAAGGCACCCAAGCGTCAAGGACTCTCCTTCATAGGGTCACTATGAGTCGCCTGCAACTCGACGGCACTTAACAACAACAACAACATAATAAGTTTACATCTAAAAGTGGGCACTTGGTTCAATGACCAAGCAGCAACTGATGGATTTGAACCACGTGCTCTTGGGTGGGCAGCACATTTTCTTACCCACTGGGCCACCAGAGCTCATGGTAATTTGTTACAGCAGCCATAAGAAACTCATACAGAACTCCCAGAGTCAGAATCTTGATTTCTGCGTTTGAATCCATCGATGTATGTATGGCCTCAGGTGAATGTCTTTGTCTCTTTAAACCGCACCTTCCACTTGTCTCCTCCTCCAGCCCCACAGACTGGAAGTGGAAGTGGAAGTGATGGTAATTACCTGCACACAGTTTCAGGATTGAAAGAAAGAACTTTCCACAAATATTTAGCACTCATTCAACAACGCATGTTTGAAAAGAAAAATATATTCCAATCAGTGGGCCTAGAAACTGCCTCAGACCGGACAGAGCCAGAAGGACCAGTAAGAGCCAGAGTAGGGTGGAGCTGGGGAGAGAATTCCTGGACGAAGTGATGAGAATGCAGTTTTAAAAGAAAAAGTCTTTGCACATCAGGAAGAAATGAAATGCAAAAAGCTGGCAGGAAATAGAGCAGGTAAGTATTATAGTCTTAAAAACAAAAGCATTCCCCACGGTGGAGAGGGTCCTGCATTAGTGTTTAATGACAAAGAGGTCAGAAAAATTAAAAAGTTGTTATTACGTGATATTGAGTTGGAACCAACTTGTAGCTGGTGGCCTAGCAGATTTTCAGAGGCTGTAAATCACACAGGAGGAGATTTCCCATGTTTCTCCTGAAAAGCAGCTGGTGGATTTGATACTCCTGCCTTTGGGTTGGCAGCACAGCTACTTGCCACTAAGCCACCATACCTGCCTAATTAAAAGGTAATGAGAGAAATTTCCCTAAGCAAGATACAATGGAGAAGCCCTAACCTAGACAAATAAACAAACGAGAGAAAAAAAACAACAAACAACTCAGGTCTGATTACATAAAAATTTTTAATGTCTGTATAATCAAAGACATCATGAGTAAGCTTATATAACCCATGATCAATGGAGAAGAAACATTGATAAAATAAAGTATCAGCTATTCTATATAAAGAGCTCCTAGAAATCAACAAGAAAAAACTACCCAAAACATCCAGTAGAAAAGTAGACAGAGGCTATGAGTAAAGAAGGCACTGAATCTCACTAGTCATTAGGGAAATGCACATGAAAGAAACAATGATGTCTTTTGAACCATCAGATTAGCAAACACTAAAAAAAAACAATAACAACCAGTGTTGGCAGGTGCTACCAAAGAGCATTTTCATGTTCTGTCAGCAGCTGCTGGTCAAACTAGGCAGAGTCAGCAATCCATTATGAGAGGGCAGGTGAGGGGTGGCTACCACATTGCAGAGCGAATGAGAGTCCAAGTGTTGTGATGGGTGGCAGGTCAGCCCTGGGTGTTATTAAGGCCTTCTGTTAGGTTGTGTGGCAAGAGAGGAAGTGTGAGACCCTGTCAGAAGAGACTTTCCCTTTGCTGAGTTGTCAGCCAGACTGGAAGTCCCTGGGTGGGGCACCTGATTAATGTATTAGGCTGCTAACAACAGGTCGGAAGTTCAAGCCCACTCAGAAGTTCCGTAGAAGAGCCTTCAGAATTGTAAAGCAATACACTGATGTTCTTTAAAACCACTGTTCCGTGGCGCTTTGTTATGGCAGCCCTGGAAGCTAACACAGTTTGGCTTTGTAATTTTGCTCTACAAATGAGTTGCATACAATTGGTCAAGAAGCTTAACTCACTATTCAAAATAGGAATCTGATTATTGCACTGAACCCAGAAGTGGGCTTCCTGCTCCTATGATGTATCGTTGCGACCCTACCAGACACTGAGTCTGTGAAAAGGTCCCTAACTTCACCATTAAAAACAATGTAAGACAATCTAGAGCAAGATGCCAGTTTCTGTCTATCAGATTGGCACACTACAGACAGGAAGAATGCCCCATCAAGAATGTCAAGAATCTAAGGGAACTGACTCGCACCTGCTTAGCAAGTCTGAAAATGGGCACAACCCTCCTAGGAAAACACATTTCAAAATGTGAAACTTATATATCCTCGGGAGTCCTGTTGTCCTTGAACTTATCATGAGGATAAGCGCACAAAGAGAAATGTCTGAGGACACGGCAGTAAGAAGTCATGCCAGTCACAGGGACTGTCAAGTTCCCTTCTTACGTTTCCCAAGATTCTCATGGTCTCAACGTTCATAAAAGACAAAGTCATGAGACCCTTATCAGGATATAAGGCAGCTCCCGGGACTTCGATGTACGCTGTGCTGTTAACGAGAACATACAAGTTCCGTTTCTCACAAGTAAGGCCAGGCTGCTTGTAACGAGCTTTCAGGGAGAAGTCCAGAGAGCCCAGTGTTCTTCAAGCGAGTATCTATGCTTCTAATTGAAAAGATTCATATATTTCTCATGGACAAGGCTGTTGAAGTTCTCCCAAACCATACTGTCAGGTTAAATGCAAGAAATGGGCCAAGTTTGTGGAAAAGTGTAACGAATTATTGAGTGAGTGTGGTTAAATTATAACACTCAGTCTGAGGAGGAAAAGATCCAGCCCTCTAGAGAGTAAATGGGTATCTATCTTTTCTCTGCTAAGTGATGACCTCGCTCCCGGATCATCAGCCCCAGCCTGGAAGTTTTTATGCTGAACTCTGCTCTCATCACAGTAATTTCTGCTATTCTATTAAAGACAGGCTTGAAATTAAGCAAACAAACTTATTAGTAAGTGCAAAAGTAACCAAACCACAGCATGTGATAGAACAGTTTTAAAAAGTATATCCTCTACACACACACACACACACACACACACACATACACACACACACACACACACGAAACCCTCAAAATTAGAAGGACATAACTTAAAAATCAGAGTGTTTAGAAGGCTGGTTATGTATATGATTCAGTCATAAAATATCACACAGCCTTTTAAAAGGATGATAGAGATCTCTGTATTTTCACTAAAATACAAGGTGAGAAAAGTAGCTTACAAAATTGTGTACACAGCATAATCCAATTTGTGTGTAAGTATAGTTACATACAAGAGTTAGATCATATACACCTTTTCCTCGATTATCAACATGGACAGGTTCCAAAGACCAGACTGTTATGTGAAAAATGGCCCTGTCTAAAAATGGAGGCTGACTACATCACTACACACGTGCCAAGTCACAGCATTCCGTAATGCCATACCTCTGAGAATCATGACCCAACAGAGCTGGCAAATACCTTACCCATCACAACCAGCATTTCTCTCATGCCGCACCTTGGCTTTAATATTAGAGGTACATTATGAATACACAAAATAGATGGACTGTAGGGTTTTTTTACCACTATCACAAATGCAAAATGTTGGATAATAAAATTGTTAGTAGGAATAAGCGTGTTTTACTAACACAGATACCTAATGATGTCCAGAGAAACATTGCTTCACACCCAACTCAAACTCATTGCTGTCAAGTTGGAAATGACTCATAGCTGACCTTGCAGTAGGTTTTCAGAGGCAGTAAATCATCACAAGGGAGCGGATTGCCCATCTTGTCCTGCAGGGAAGCTGGTGGATTCGAACCATGTCCCTTTGGGTTGACGGTGTAGTTCCTTACCACTAAGCCACCAGAGCTTCCTTGTTGTTATTGTATGTGCCATCGAGTCACCTATGACCCATAGCGACCCTGTGTAAGAGCTTCCTTAGAATAGTGAAAAACTAGAACTAATATAAATGTCCATTAACTAGAGACCAATTTAATCTATCAAAGCACGTCCACACAATTGGATTCTGGGAATGAATGAGTTAGATCTTCGTGTTGCTAACATAGAAACTGTCTATAACATAATTAGGAGGGGGGAAAAATCAAGCCTAGAACCACAGTGTGACATGACACTACTTATGTTAACCCACATGAACACAAGAATTAAAAAAATAAAATCAGTGCAAATCCATTACTATTGAGTCAATTCTGAACCATCGGACAGAGGAAAAATCTCTATGGTGGAGGCTGCTATGTCTTCTTGCAGAGCTGCTGGTGGGCTAGAACCGTCTGACTTTAGATTAACAGCCAAACTCTTAACCTCTAGGCTACCCCTGTAACCAGACACCCTGGCCCCTAACTGAATATTCTCTGTGCTGTTTGACTTTTCACAGTAATGATATTGAAATACGCTGTAGTCACAGTACGAAAGACTTGGAAAATGCCAGTTCTGGTTATCAGAGACTCTCTGAGAGTTGAAGGAGGGGTGGCCAGGTCCCAGCTGAAGTGACCAAAGGCAACCACACTTCCCAGCTGGGTTGTCACAGCTCAAGATCCTGAGCCCTCAGTCTGAATAAGAAAAAATAAAGCAAAACCTGGTTATCACTGAATAGATTCCAACTCTTGAGGACCTCGTATCAGAGTGGAACTGAGCCCCACTGGGTTTAAAAAAAAATATTGGTTTGCATTTAATCATCTCCCACTGAGTTTTCAATGACTGATCTTCAGAAGTAAATTATCAGTTTCTGGGTGGGCTTGAACCTACAGCCATTTGGTTAGCAGTTAGGCGCATTACCACTAGTATGAATCAGGAACTTGGAATAAGACAGAGTCCTTGATGTTCTTTATAAGCAAAGGAAAGAGAAATAGCATCTATAAGGATCCAGGAATCAGGGATCCCCAACCCTAGCCTGTGCAAGAGGAAAATGAACTTGACTTCCCAGAGCTTCTGACTCTCTGGGCTGTTATAAGGACTCAGAGAGATGTCATATGTCTCTTGCATGTAGTAGGTTCTCAGCTTAGTCTCCGTGACCCACAGGCCTGGCTTTGAGACACCGGCAGCCCAGACCTCCCCTCCCTTTCCCCACAATGCTCCTGCTCCTACCTGCTGCCCAGCTCTGCCCAGCGCCCAGCACAGCGCCCTGACTGCCTGGCGATGTGAGCTCGTGGGATCCGGAGACACGGGGAGACCAGAGGTGCCATGGTGAGCCTCTCCATCCGGGCTGCGGGGAGAAGAGCAGGCTCTGCCATGGGCAGGCTCCGACAGGCCCCCACACTACCGCTCTGGGGCTGACTCACTCGGCAATGGAAGCAGGCAGTGGCAGACACGGGCCTCGAGCACGCCCAACTCCCAGACACCCCCACACCTGTCAAAAGTCCAGCCTCCTCCTCGTGTGACTGCCTCAGCCTGGGCACAAACACACACATGCTTCTGAGTCTCACCTCACTGCCTCCACTAGCATGCTGCAGTGGAAACTGTGCCTTCAAAAGTCACATAATAAATCGTATTTGTGTTGTTATTATTACTACCCACAGCAGTCCTAATTTTAGAATAAATAAGGCACCTCTCTCTTATGTGGATAAAAAAAATTCATCATGGGCCAGGGGTCTTTGTGACTTTGGGCAAGTCACTGCTGTCTCCTCTGAGCTTGTTTTCATCGTGTGTGTGTGTATTCCTCCCAGACTGCCAGGGACAGAGAAAGAGCAAGGGTTGTGTACAGAGTGGGAGTGGAGGTACCAGAGAACAGGAAACAGCAGTGGCCCTGTCTGAGGCTTCAGGAAAGCCCTGGAAATCATCCCTTTGGATGGAATCTGCAGAGGTTGATGGGTACAGGTTTGGGAGAGGGAGGAAGACAGGACACTTTAGTTTCCTCCTCTGTTATTCAGTCACTCATTCTTGAGTATGTATTTAAGAGGCCCTACAAGAGACAGTTACAATGGAGCCTGAGAGAAGCGCAGAACTGTGGGGACTCAGGGAGTCTTCCTGAAGGAGAGGGCACCTCAGCCCAGATGGGAACTGGGACCTGAATTGGAGTTCATCATGTAGAAACAGGACAGGGAGCAGGGGTTCAAGTTAACGCACAGAATAGTTAGGCGGTTTTGTCACTGTTATTGCAAATGCTATTGTAAATTACTATTATCACAGGAAGGTATATGGGTGAATGGACAGATAGTTGGATGGACAGATGAGTGGATTGGATAGGTAGATGGATGTGTGAATGGACAGATGAGTGAGTGGATTTATGGATGGATATATAGATGAATGGATGGATGGATGATGTCTGGATGGGTAGATGAATGGCTGGTGGGTAGATGGATAGGTGAATAGATGGATAATGATTGGATAGATAGATAGATAGATAGATAGATAGATAGATAGATAGATAGTTGATAGAAGATACATAAATACATATGTGATGGATGAAGGAGTACGTGGATGGATGGATGATTGGGTAGGTAGATGGATAGGCAAACGGACAGATGAGTGAGTTAATGAATGGATATATAGGTGGATGGATGAGTGAAGGATTTGGTAGTTGAGTGGATGGACGGATGGATGGATGGATGAATGGATGGATGGATGGATGGATGGATTGATTGATGGATGGATGGGTGGGTGGGTGGATGGATGGATGGATGGATGGATGGATGGAGTGGATGGATAGATGGACAGATGGGAAGAAAAGTGAGTGGCTGTGTACATGAATGTGTACACACAGGTAAATGAGTGAATCTCGGCCTCGGCCTCGGGTAGGTGAGTCTGTCAGGAGTATCGGCCAGGCCGGTTAGGTGACAGTGGAGTGACTCAGACCTGGCCGCTCAGCACTGGGCAGTCCTCCAGCACCTTCCCACAGAGCCTGTGATGCATCGAGACACCTCCATCCTGCTCCCCCAGGCCCAGAAAGACACCCTCCTCCCCGGGCCCTGCGGCTGTGTGTTCAGTGTTCCCCCAGGACCCTCCTGTGCTGCGTACTGGTCTGTCCAGTGGGGAGCAGTGAGGCATCACAGGCCTGGGCTGATCCTCAGCTGTCACTTAGGCTGTGTGACCTGCCTGTCTTGAAGGCTTCTTGGAAGACGCAGGGGGATAACACACCGAGCACTGACACCCTGATTCTTATCTCCATTGATACACAACAGAGCCATGGCTGACCCTCCAGGGGGTTTTCAGAGGCTGTAAACCATCCGAGAAGAGATTGCCCATCTTCCTCTCACAGAGTGACTGGTGGATCCGAACCCCCAGAGAAGTGCCCTCTTTTGGTTAGCAGCACAGCCCCCTAACCACCAGGCCCCCAGAGCTCCCTGACCAGTACATGCCATGTACCGGTGCTTTATTTCCGGGTGTGTAGCTTTCTTTTGGAAGCAACTGATTGCTCACTGACAAGATACTCTGGTGGCGTAGTTTATGGTCTGCTGTCCTGCTAAGCCAAAGGCCATGCATCTCTAGCGGTTCAAATCTACCAACTGCTCCTCAGAAAAAATGATGGACCATCTCCTTTCAATTAAGATTTATAACCTCAGAGGCACCAGGAGGGCTGCGACAGAGTCAGAGTGTACTCCACGAGACTGGGATAAGGGACTTTACTGCACCCCATGTTTCATTCACATGAGCATTTCGGGAGGAGGGGGTTGGCCTCACTTTGCAAATGATACAAAAGAGGCTCACAGAGATGGTGGGGTGATGGTGAGCGTCTTGCACTGGGTTCTGGGCCTGCGGCTCCAGGGTTCAGGAAGGGCACCAAGGAGTGTGTGTCTAGGAGATGAATGAATCCCTGTGAACTGAGGTTGGACCGAGCCAGCTGAGCCCTGCACCCTGGTGCCCCCTAGCGCCCTTCCCCCTGCACGTCTCAGCCCAGGTGACAGGCCCTTAGCCTTCCTGCCTTCCCTGGGGTGGGAGGACACACAGGGGAACACACACACAGAGTTCTAAGTGGTCGTGTGCTCCCCACAAACAGCAGCACCCCATGCTACATGATTCGAGTCCGTGGAGATTGGGTTAGGGTCAGAAAGATGGGCCACATCTTGTGTGACATTGTACAAGGGCCTTAACCTCTCTGACCGTCTGATTCCTCATCTGAAAATGGAAATATTACCCACCTCATAACGTTGTTGGGAGACTCAAAGAAGATAGTGTTTGGGATGCACTTGGCACTGGGAGGGCACACAGCAGGAGGGGTAAGTGGGAGCTGTTAGATGGGGGGGGGGGTGTCTCCCAGTGCCTAGAGGATCACAGGGCAGGTTTGACCATCTCTCTCTCTCTCTCTCTCTCTCTCTCTCTCACACACACACACACACACACACACACACACACACACACATCCATCACCTGCCTCATCGTCCTGGAGTCTCAGCCCCTTCCCTAAAGCGGTGGGTAACCCCACCTCCCCCACCAGTCAGCTCTGCTTACCTGAGCCCTGAGCACTGTCCCCAGCCTCCTGTCGCAGGCTTCCCTGTGAGCTGTGAACCAGCAGAGCCTGCCTGTGTGCACTCCCTCCCGGCCTGAGCACCCCAGGCTCCTTCAGAGCATCTGGGAGGGGGCAGGGTGTGAGGAGGGGGCTTGATGGCTCAGCTGCCTTTTCTAGGTCAGCCTGGAGACCAAACAATGGCCCAGCAGCCCCTGACGGCAGCAGGAAGGAGGAGTGCCCAGCCAGAACCCATTCTACATGGCCCATACAGACTCCCAGAACCAGCAGTGGGAGGCGAATAGAGCCAGGGAGAAGGGTCACTCACAGAGGAGGTCTGGTACCAAAAGGCATTATCTGATGCCAGTGCCTGCCCTCCTGAAGTCCCAGGGACACAGCGCTGGAAGAAGGTCGTCAATGTGTAAGAGAGGAGTCTGTGAAGGAGGGGGGTGTGTGTGTATGAGGTGTGTGAGAGAGAGAATGCGTGCCACAGTGTGAGTAGTGAAAATATATTCATTTGCATGAGAAAGTGTGTGAACGAGAGAGTAATCGTATGTGAGAAGGAGCATGTGACATTGTGTATGTATGAATGAAAGTGTGTGAGAAATAGTGATCATAGTGCATGAAACACAATGTAAATGAAAGATTGTGTAACAGTGTACATGAATGAAACACAAATATTGTGTGTGTGTGTGTGTGTGTGTGTGTGTGTGTGTGTGTGTGTGTGTACCATCAAATCAGCTCTGACTGGTATAGGAGGAAATTGTCCATTCTCCAGCAGAGCATCTGGTGGATTTGAACCACACACCTCTCGGATTGCAGTGCAGCTTCTTGCCACTAGGCCATCAGAGCACGCAAATTTTTTTTTTTTTTAAAGAAAATGTGAATGCATGACTGAGACTGTTAGAGAGTGTTTGTGTGTGTGTGTTTGTGTGTGAACATGTACGGGTGTGAGTGTGTGTGTGTATGTCAGAGAGAGAGAGTGTGTGTGTGTGTTGGGGTATACAGTAGAGCAAAGGAAAGGGTTGGGAAAACAAGACACTTTTATATAACCCTTGGCACCACCTTTTAGCAGGGCCACTTATAAAATTCAGGGCAAAATGATATGGCAAAAATATAAAAAAATGGGGAAATGTGCAACAATGAATGAATGGAAATCCAAGTTCTCTATAAACTTTCATTAAGATCTCAAAAAATATGGTACAATGGAATACTACGCAGCACGAAGAAGCAATGAATTATTACCTAATTTGGGAGAGACTGGAGAGCATTATACTGAGTGAAATAACTCAGTTCCTTGTTTTATTGTCTAAAACTATTATTGTAGAATGAGGATCCAAGGAGCGGGGAGGGTGGAAGCAGATAGATGAGGATGTGCGGGTTAGGAAGGGTCGATTAATCTTGGGGTTGTACTGAGGGTTGAGGGAAATTGGAAGTATCTGGTCTGAAAAACAATGTATTTGAATTTTGTAAATAACCTAGTATAATAAAAAAATAAGCTTAAAAAAAGAATAGAATCTACCTATGTTGAATTTAACAATTTCTGCTTTCAAAATCTATCCCCTTGGTTGAACACTCCTGAGTGCAGAACCGTTCCCTGCAGTCTCATTGGTAAGAACAGAGAGCTCATGGGAGAAACTGAGCAAGGTTTGTCCCCGAGTGTTCACTGCTCAGACCTCAGCCAGGGGCAACAGGGAGCCATGCAGGGCTTACAGCAGAGGGGGACGTGTTCTGAGTTATGCTTTGAGTGGATGTGCTTTTGAGAAATGGGGGTGGTGAGATGAAAGGCTGGAAGATCAAGATCAGCTATTCAACCATGGAGGAGAGTGCCCATCCTTCTCCCATGGGGCAGCTGATGGATTTGAACCATGCACCTTTGAGACTGCAGTACACTTTCTTACCACTAGGCCACCAGAGCTATTTGTATTGGCCTTGTCATTGTTGTTGTTGTGTACCGTCGAGTCAGAACCGACCTGTTGCTAATCTCCAGCAGGTTTTCAGAGACAGTTAATCGCACTCGAGGAGACTGTCTATCCTCCCATGGAGCAGCTGGGGGATTCGAACTGCATGCCTTCAGGACTGCAGTGCTGATTCTTATTGCGAGGCCACCAGAGCTCCCCAGCCAGCACTGGCCCTGGTATCAATTAAGCATCCAATATAGCTAGTCTTCTCTTGTGAAGATCTACGAACTCAGAAACCCAAGGAAGGTCACCATGAGTTGCAATCAACTAGATGGCAGTAGTTTGGGTTCCTTGTAGTTTCATTATTTTATTGATATCAATATTATATAATTTCTTCTGTAAATATGTATTGAATCCAGTGTCAGAGATTAGTTAGATACATCTGTCAACAGGATCATTTATGGAGCCTCTTAGAAGGTGACAAGTCCTACAGAAGAAAGAAAATGGAGAACAGAGTAAGAGGGGTCGGTCATGAGCTGGGGTGGGAGGGATTGCAATATTAAATAAGAGTATTTGGGAGGGTCTAGCATAGATTGCCAAGAAAACAAACAGGTCTGTCTTGGAGAGGGTGAAACCACATTTCTCCTTGGAGGCTAGGATTTTGAAGCTCGTCTCATATACTTTGGGCACGTGGCCAGGAGAGACCGGTCCTTGGAGAAGGACATCATGCTTGGAAGGGTGGGGGGACAGAGCAGGAAAGAAAGACCCCAGACGAGAAGGATTGATACAGTGACGGGGACAATGGAAGTAGGTGCATCAGAGTCAGTGAGACTGGTTCAGGACAGGGCAAGCTTCAGGGCTTTTGTATATAGGGTCACTATGAGTAGCAGGCGACTTGACGGCACATAACCACCACCACCACCACCCTACTGAAAAAGTGACATCTGAGCAAAAACTCAGAGGTGTGAGTTTGCCACTTGGCTTTCTAGAAGAGAGAACTTCCAGCAGAAAGAACAGCCAATGCAAAGAGCCTAAAAGAATGAGGCAGACGGTCCTCCAACATGGTGGTTGGTCCTCCAGCCTTCCCCATCACAAAACCCACAGCTCTCCAATATGGCACAGGAAGCGAGCCCAACAACACGGATGGGACCAGTACGGCCGAGGGAGCAGGTACCCAGAAGGTGGAAGCAGCTAGCTTCCCAGCACGACAGCCTCCCAAGGCTTTGGGCCCTCAGTCAGCTCTCCCTCCCATGTCACCCACACACAGAAGGGCCTCACCTGGTATTGCGGGCTCACTACAGCTGCTTCTTGTCTTCTCCGCTGTGGAGTGTCTCCTCCCAGCAAAACTCAGCTCGCCCTTTGCTCCATGGTTCCCAATTGATACATAAACAGGGGTCATTTTCCTCTGAATCTGTGGAGGTACAAGATACGGGGTCTTGGATAGTCACATGCTACCGCCAAATCTTGATTCAAAAGGGATGCCCCTTCAGGATCGGGGATGCCTGCTGTCTTCTCTGGGATCAAGGTGCCAAGGACCAAGCTGTGACATACAGGCCTGCCCTGAAGCCTCAAGAAACCTCAGCACTTTAAATGGTGACCAAGGTCCAAGAAAGAGTCCTAAGATTCAGAAAGTGGCCAGATCTACTACTGGAGAGGGAAGGATCCGAGAGGTCAGCAGATGACCTGAGATGACCTCGCGCTGCACTGGATGAGGTCCAGGAAGGAGCACTGAGGAGATATTAGCCAATTAACAAATAGCTACTGAATTATGGAACATGATTTCCACCCACAGCATTGTTTTGTGCACACAGATAGCATACTGAAAACTGGGTTGAGGTCCATCATGTGAAACCCGCTTGGCTAAGATGTGATATGCTCACATCCTGTGGAGACCTGGTCTCTCCCTTCCACAATATGTCATGTAGTTGGTCAAAGAATTGCATTTGAAATCTTTGTTTTCTATTTGCGGCCTCCCTAATGATGTGTTTGGGGTTTTTTTCTCCTAATGGTATTTTGAAAAGATATGGAGACAGAAAGCTTCCCTGACACAGTACCTTCCTTATTTTGAACCATGCTTTGTTCGTTTTTTTTTTTTTAGTTCATTGTTAAAAAAAATTCATTATTGCACATTTCACTCTCCCCCTCCCTAAGCCCACCCTCAATGCACCCCTTGTCCCAAACTGTTCTCATACATATAATGCATAATTATATTTTTTGAAAGTTCTTTACAGCTGTTCCAATGCAGTGTTCAGTATCTATCCACTCTTTCCCCATCCCTTCCCCAAACTCCTCATGTCTGTCTTATAACAGTAGTGTTATGCAGTATTTGTCCTTTTGTGACTGAGAGATTTCACCTAGCATAATGTTCTCAAGGCTCTCCCATGTTGTGCAATGTTTCACTGTTTCCCAGTGCTACATAGTATTCCACTGTGTGGCTGTACCATTTTTCACCATTTCTCTATCTGTTCATTTGTTGACAGGCACTTGATTGCTTCCATTTTTTTGCTACAGTGAATGATGCAGCAATAAACATGGGTGTACAGACATCTGTTTGAGTCATGGCTCTGGTTTCTTTAGGGTATATTCCCAGTAGTGGAAATGCTGGATTAAATGGAATTTCTATTCCCAACTTTTTGAGATAGCACTAGACCACCTTCCATAGTGATTGTACCATTTTACACTCCCACCAGAAGTGAATAAGAGTTCCAATCTCTCCACAACCTCATCAGGATGTTGTTTGCTGCCTTGCTGAATTTTGCTGTTGTTGCTGTGGTGAGACGATATCTCATAAGTGTTTTGATTTGCATCTGTCTGATAGCTAGGGAATTTGAACATTTCTTCATGTGTGTGTTTTCCACCTCAATGTCTTCTTTGGTGAATCCTTGTTTTGTTCTGACCACTGTATCCTGGTCCAATTATGGTTTTCACACGAGCACAATCAGGTGTTGTGAGGTTTCCATTCTTCTCAAGGTTAGCCACAATTTGTCATGATCCGCACAGTCAAATACTTTTGCATAATCAGTGAAACACACACGGACATTCCTCTGGTACTCTCTGCTTTCAGCAAAGAGCTGACATTGGCAATGATGTCCCTAGTGTCATGGCCTCTTCTAAACCCATTTTGTATTTTTGACAGTTTTCTATAGATTTACTGTTCCAGTCATTTCTGGATAATCTTCAGTAGGATTTTGCTTGCAAGTGATGTTGTTTGATAATTTCCACACTCCGTTGGATCATCTTTTTTTTTGGCGTGGGTATAAATATGGATCTCTTCTGGTAGCTGCCCTTCAGGTTTCTTGGCATAACCCAGCGAGTGTGTCTAGGGCAGCATCCATTTGTTGAAATACGTACCACTTGTTAAAAAGTTTGACTCTTCTCCACTTAATGGATTTCCTTTCTTTGCCAAAGACCAGCTGTCCATAGGTCCATAGATTTAATTTTGGGTTCTCAATCCCATTCTACTGGTTTATGTATCTGTCGCTGTGCTAGTTAGCACGAGTTCTGATTACTCTGGCTGTGCGGTAGAGTTTGAGATCCTGAAGTGTGAGGTTCTTCGGTGATGCTTTGCTTATCCAGGGCCTCTTTCCTTTCCATATTAAGTTGGTGATTACCTTTTCAATCCCTTTGAAGAGTGATGGCAGGATCTGGGTCAGGATTTCATATTATCTGTACAGTGTGTTATTGTCATTTTTACAATGTTAAATGATGGGTATTATTATAAAACAGAGACACGATGGAGAGCATCCCATAGTCACTGAGGGAGAGAAAGAAATGATGCATAAAATTCCAGGAAGCTGAGACAAGGGCGCAGAACAAATTCCCCCGCAAGGGCCTTCAGAGAGCTTGACCTTGATTTTGGAACAGTGAGAATAAATATGTTTTAAGTCACCAAGACTGTGGCCCTTTGTTGGGCAGCTTTGACTCTGAAGTTGCCTTCCTGGTTCTGAAAGCCATCCTGAAGCGGGTGGGAAGGCTAGGGATGGGGACGGCAGTGCTGTACTCACGACTGCACTCATACTGAATTCCAGGCCAAACTGATGCCGAAGGAGGGATCCAGCAGAAAAGTTAGCCAAGCATAAGCCAGGGTGTCTTGATTCCCCAGCCCCTAGCAAGAGGAGAGAACCCACAGAGTGACAGAGTTTCAAAAGCACAAGCCCCAAGAGATAGTTCACTTCATTGCAAAATGAAGAAAAGGCTTATTTCAAAATGCTGTGTGAGAAGTCAGTGGGTGAATGGCCTTGCAGGTGGCAGTCTGAGAGACGCCAGGCTGGTCTAAATTGTGGCTGGATTACAGCAGGGGATCTGGGGTGACTTCTGGGGAGGCACTGGGTGGTGGGTGAGGGGTCCTGCATGAAGAAGCCATGCCAAGCCACTCCCACACTTCAACATGGACAACACCCACCCGGGGCTATTATTTCCTGTAAGCACCTACTATGTGTCCCACCCTGGGAACACCTGACAGGGGTAGCTCTTTGTTAGTGGTGAGAAAACTAAGAATGAGACACCAGACAACTAAAATTCAACTTTTCTTTTCAATGTAAACTTTGGTTAAAATCACAATTAACATTTTTCAAAATTATTATTCATTTAAAAAAGAAACCGGCAAACGGCCACCATTACACACTTCATAGCTGTGACGCTCTGAGCCTCTGTTCCTCCATTGTAAGAGAAGTGTGACTGTGTGTTCTTTTGAGGATTATGTGTAATAATGCACAGTGTTTAGCTGGTTACCATTTGCTCCTGTGAAAGATTTCCTCCCTTGACAAATCTACAGGACTGTCTACTTTGTCACACAGGGCTGATACAAGAAAGAACTGATCAGATGGAACCCAACATTTTAAAATAGAATTAATTTTTGTTGAGAATGAAACCACAGAGCAGACCTCAACTCCCCCATGTACAATTAAGTGACACTGTATTATCTGTGTGACTGTTCTCACCTTTCTCTTCCACATTGTTCCTCCTCCATTAACATACACGCCTTACCCTCAATGAGTTTCCTACCTAAATCGTCCAGATTGCAGTTCTTTGATCTCATAGATCGATCTTAAAAAAGCACAATGCTTAAGGGAGATAATCTATACAAGGTAAGCTAAATTATGATTTGGTTTTAAGAAGCCTGTCAGGGGTTTATGAGTTTTAAGGTTTTAAGATTCTCTTAGGGCAATAGTTCCAGCCTACATGACATTAATAAGTGTTCGGGGTAGAGCTGCAATTCGAACTCTAATGTCCTACACTCCGAGAGCCAGCTTTTTAGCTCTCTCACACATAAATCCTTTGGCACCCACCAGCCACCAGCATGGATCTGATGCCCACGTTTTGGCCCACAGGGAGCACTGGGAGTCTAACCTGGAAATCTGAACACATGATGAACATTTTCTGAAGAGGACTTCCTAGGCTTTTCCCAGGAATCTCAGTGAGTTCCCCCAAGTCCTTGCTCCCACACTTAAGATCACAAGTAGGTGGGGAGGGGTGATCTGCTCACCGTCTCAAAGCCATCTGCCTAGGGCTGGCAGTGTGCTCCACTCCCTCCAAACCCGGCTAGCCAAGGGTCACGAGGTGGGAGGTCAAGAGAAAGAGGAGGCTCCTCAGGAAATGAGGAAGCACAGTGAGAGGACCCCTGAGGATGTCACTTAGTCACACGGCTGACACAAGCTTTCTTCATTACCAGCTTTGTGTGACCTCTGCCTCCTCCTGAAGGTGTGCTGGCCACAGGATGGACGTCAGCAGGGAACCCCCTCACCCAGTGCTCATGTGCCAGACAAGCCCAGATCTCCTTCCCGAGCAGAGTATGACGTAAGCACTGCATTCACTGTCTGTGCAGTGAGTGGACAAGCACAGGCTGAGGCGCTGAGATCTTGCCTGTGCACGGCTCACTGTCCTGGCTGCCATCACAGAAAGTGACAGAACACTCCCCAGCGTAAGCACGCCCCGTGCCATCCTCCAGTACACGCACGCAGCCGTGCCATCCTCCAGCGTAAGCACGCAGCCGTGCCATCCTCCAGCGTAACCACGCAGTCGTGCCATCCTCCAGTGTTGCAGCCGTGTCATCCTCCAGGGTAACCACGCAGCCGTGCCACCCTCCAGCGTAACCACGCAGCCGTGCCACCCTCCAGCGTAACCACGCAGCCGTGCCACCCTCCAGCGTAACCAC